ATAATTTATTTTACCCTTTATATATAATAATTGGACATAATTGAAATCTATTTACAATCCTTAATCAACTAAATTAATTGCATCATTATAATTTTGAAGCATCATTAAAGATTAAGCTAATATTTTAATTTATTCTATATTTTACCCTTTATACATAATGAATCAATATGCTTTGGATCTAATTACATTACTTTATCAGCACAAATAATTGCATCGTCATATTTACCAAGTAATCTTAAAGAATCAGCTAATATTTTGCATTTTTTAATATTTTACCCTTAATATATAAAGAATCAATATGATTTTAATTTATTAACAACACTTTTTCTGCTAAAGCAATTGCCTTGTTATAATTGCCAAGTTTCGCTAAAGAGGCAGCTAATTAATTTTTATTTAATATATGATACCCTTAATATATAATGATTTAATATGATTAAAATCTAATTATAATGTTTTATCAGCCCAAATAATTGCATCGTTATATTTACCAAGTTATCTTAAAGAATCAGCTAATATATTTGTATAATTTATATTTTACCTTTTATACATAATGATCCTACATGATTTGAATCCAATTGTAATTCTTTATCTGACCAAATAATTGCTTCGTTAAAATTGCCAAGTTTTGCTAAAGAGTGAGCTATATTTTGATATTTTACATATTTTACCCTTTAAACATGATAATCCCAAATGAGTTGAATCTAACAACAATCCTTAATTAACCCAAGCAATTGCATCAGTGTAATTTTCAAGATTCAATAATGAAACAGCTAAAAAAATGTATATAATATATAATACCCTTGATATATAATGATTTAACATGATTAGAATCTATTTGTAACACTTTATCAGCCCAAATAATTGCATAATTATATATACCAATTAATCTTAAAGAATCAGCTAATATTTGGTTAATAATTGATTTTACCTTTGAGATATAATGAATCAACATGCTTTGGATCTAATTGCAATGCTTTATCAGCCTAAATAATAGCATCATGATATTTTCCAAGTTATCTTAAAGAATCAGCTAATGAATTTCTATATTTTATGTTTTACCCTTTATACAAAATGAATCAATATGCTTTGAATTTAATTACAATGCTTTATCAGCCCAAGCAATTGCATCGTTATATTTACCAATTTTTGTTAAAGATTAAGCTAATATATTTAAAAATAATTTATTTTACCCTTTATATATAATAATTGGACATAATTGAAATCTATTTACAATCCTTAATCAACTAAATTAATTGCATCATTATAATTTTGAAGCATCATTAAAGATTAAGCTAATATTTTAATTTATTCTATATTTTACCCTTTATACATAATGAATCAATATGCTTTGGATCTAATTACATTACTTTATCAGCACAAATAATTGCATCCTTATAATTACCAATTTTTGTTAAAGATTAAGCTAATATATTTAAAAATAATTTATTTTACCCTTTATATATAATAATTGGACATAATTGAAATCTATTTACAATCCTTAATCAACTAAATTAATTGCATCATTATAATTTTGAAGCATCATTAAAGATTAAGCTAATATTTTAATTTATTCTATATTTTACCCTTTATACATAATGAATCAATATGCCTTGAATCTAATTACATTACTTTATCAGCACAAATAATTGCATCCTTATAATTACCAATTTTTGTTAAAGATTAAGCTAATATATTTAAATATAATTTATTTTACCCTTTATATATAATAATTGGACATAATTGAAATCTATTTACAATCCTTAATCAACTAAATTAATTGCATCATTATAATTTTGAAGCATCATTAAAGATTAAGCTAATATTTTAATTTATTCTATATTTTACCCTTTATACATAATGAATCAATATGCCTTGAATCTAATTACATTACTTTATCAGCACAAATAATTGCATCCTTATAATTACCAATTTTTGTTAAAGATTAAGCTAATATATTTAAATATAATTTATTTTACCCTTTATATATAATAATTGGACATAATTGAAATCTATTTACAATCCTTAATCAACTAAATTAATTGCATCATTATAATTTTGAAGCATCATTAAAGATTAAGCTAATATTTTAATTTATTCTATATTTTACCCTTTATACATAATGAATCAATATGCCTTGAATCTAATTACATTACTTTATCAGCACAAATAATTGCATCCTTATAATTACCAATTTTTGTTAAAGATTAAGCTAATATATTTAAATATAATTTATTTTACCCTTTATATATAATAATTGGACATAATTGAAATCTATTTACAATCCTTAATCAACTAAATTAATTGCATCATTATAATTTTGAAGCATCATTAAAGATTAAGCTAATATTTTAATTTATTCTATATTTTACCCTTTATACATAATGAATCAATATGCCTTGAATCTAATTACATTACTTTATCAGCACAAATAATTGCATCCTTATAATTACCAATTTTTGTTAAAGATTAAGCTAATATATTTAAATATAATTTATTTTACCCTTTATATATAATAATTGGACATAATTGAAATCTATTTACAATCCTTAATCAACTAAATTAATTGCATCATTATAATTTTGAAGCATCATTAAAGATTAAGCTAATATTTTAATTTATTCTATATTTTACCCTTTATACATAATGAATCAATATGCCTTGAATCTAATTACATTACTTTATCAGCACAAATAATTGCATCGTCATATTTACCAAGTAATCTTAAAGAATCAGCTAATATATTTTTATATAGTTAATAATACCTTTCAAATATAATGCCTATTTATAATTTTTATTTATCAGTAATGCTTAATCGAATTATTCTATAGCTTCGCTATATTTACTTTCATCCAAATATAATTTATAACCTAAATTGTCAATTTTTTACCTTTAAAATATATATCTTAAGCTTGTTATAATTCTTATTCTTCAGGTTCATAATAAATTAACTCATTTAGGTTTAGTTCTGTAATAATTCTATTAAATTCAATGAATGTATCGTTTGAAGATTTTTCTACATCTGATTATATTTTTTTAGCAATCTCCTCATATTTTAGCATCTAATCAAAAGCTTAATTTAATTATTTTCCATTCAATTTTTAGATTTATTCTTTTGATAGTTGATATTTTGATTGTAATCCTTAACTTAATATTGAAAATGATTAATTTATTTTTTCAATATTTGAAGTTAATTGTTTAATTAATTCATCACTTTTTTATCTGATTTCTTCTATAAATTAAATTAACCTTATCAAATCCCATTAAAACCCTTGATGACCTACATGATCTTATGATTTTCTTAAACATTCATGACAATAAATTCTATTGGCTTTACAAGATTTATCAAAACAAGCCAATTCCATAAAACTATCGTGTTCTCTATTTGAACACTTTATTTGCAAGTTTTTTATTTAATTCATTATTTGTAATAATATATTCCTAATTCTATTAATGATATTTATAATTATATAAAAACTTTGATTAGTAGAATTAAACAGAATACAATACGTGTCATAATTACATAAAACCAGGGTTATGCTTTATAATTCAAGATATATCTACATTAATACCCGTTTATTTTTATTCGAATTTTCATAATTGCGATGAGTAAATATTGTAACTAAAGACCCATAATTATAATAATTTCCTTTAATTTTAGTGTTTAAATGAAGTTACTGTGGTTAATTTTTCGCAAAGAATTTCAATAGCAAATAGGTTTAACAAATGATCAATATTTTTTTGTTGCCAATTCATGGATTTGAAATCTCAATATTAATCTTTATTTTTAAGATCAACGATTGAAAAGTTACTATTTTATATTATTATTACCTAGAAACTTTTTATAAAAATATATGGAATTTTTTGAAATAGTTTAGATAATTAATTGGTTAGAGGAAATAATATAATATAGATAATACTTATTTATCAGGTATTTTAATTCAGAAAACATTCTTTAGCGTGACTTTAAATTGTTTTCAATTTAAGCATATTGAGAAAATAGTTGCATAAAATTTTTTTGATACATTTATATTCACCTGAACTGGAGATCTCAAAAGCTACTCCACTGATATATTAGTAGTTTATTAATAATATCATATTTTTTTTGATAGTTTTGTCATCTCTGAAAAGTAAACATTGTCTTTTTTAATAATTAAAAAACCTAAGTTTCTAAAATTTTGTTATAAATAATTTTATGATGATGAATTAGGAACATTGTGAATAACCTCCAAATATTCCAATAGGAGGCATTTACAAAGACAAAAACAAACCTTAAATTTAAAGAAAAATTTGTATGGAATGAATTTTAGATCCTGGTTTACCTCATGAATAAGTCTTATCAGAAAAAAATTCATTTAATAATTATTGGAAAAGTCTTAAAAATTAAGCATGGAGGATTAATTAAGACAAAATTAATCTAAATAAATTTTAAAAAGAATCCTACATCGAATAGATAAAGAAATTTTTAAATATTTTCTAGTATCACAGAATAAATCTAAGCAATTTAGATCGATGAGAAAAAGATGGATGAAAGATTTCTAAATTTGATAAACCAAGATTTGTCCCCATTTGAGTGCTCTAATTCTGAATTAAATTTTCTTGTGCATTTTCTAGAAGGAAATACTTTTGAAGAATATATGAAAAAAAAAAACACACTTAGTTCTTAAATTTAAATGTAGGGGACCTTCTAAATAGAATAGTCTAAAATTTATACTAATCTTGCCATGTGATCAATAATATGGGATAAAAATTGTAATTTTTCATTTATATCGAAGTGTTCAAATATAAATTGAAACTACCATTCCCTTAGATGGATTAGAGAATGTCAATAATAATTTAAGATAAACTAAATTTGATCTCATAACATTAAAAAATGGAGATAAGGTTTATTAAAAAGATGGACAAATATTACGAATGTAAAATAAGTTTATATTAATTAGAGAGAAAAATAATATAGGATCAAAAAATGAAGAAATAATCTATAATATGGAATAATAAAAATATTTAGAGTTCAGAGGTCAATATTGAGTGAAAGGCTATAAAATCAAATAATGGAATTACTTTTGGAAGGGACAAAATATTGGAGGGGGTTCTTACAATATTATAGGAGAAAAGGAGGGTAATTGGATCGATTTATGTGAGAACTATTGGGAGTATTAATTATGACAAACTAATTTAGTCAAAAATAAATACTAGAAGTAGGTTATTATTAAAAAGGTAAAAGAATAGGTTAGTGGAGTTATAATTGGAAGAATTATAAAATATAAGAACAGTGATTAATCTCTTAGAGGAGGAGGAGCTCATGATGAAAATGGTAAGGAGGTTAAAATTGGAAAATGGTTAGAACTGAGCGATGGTTCTAAATAGGGTTCTTGTCTCTCTGGGAAATTTACAAATATCAAAAATTTATGTATAATATACTAATATCCTCCTTTAGTGGTTATTTTAGATATGAAATAGAGAAATAGTTACAAACTAAAAGTATCAATACTAAATATTGTATTAGGATTAATAATTTAATTTATTTTGGCAAAATGAAAAACAATTTAAAAGTAGGTAGATGGGAAATCTATTATGAAGGAGATTAAATGTAAATTATATATAAGTATAAGGAATTTTATTTGATTAGTGGTGGTGGATCATATGATAATGAAGGAAATTAAAAAAAGATTGGAAAGTGGGTAGGATTGGATGAAGGGTTTAGGCATGAGAAATAAGTCAATTATAATGTTGAATACAACACGGAGATTTTATGATTAAGAAGGTTAGAAAAAAAAATAGGAAAATGGATAGAGTTGGATGAAGCGTTCAAAGATTATAATTAAATCATTTATAGCGGAGATTATGATCTGAATGGTCTGAAGATTGGTACATGGAATATTATGTATATAAAGGAAATCAAATGTAATATATATCTGGGTATAAGGACTTATTTACGATTAACGGTGGGGGATCATATGATCAAGAAGGTAATTAAAATAAGGTAGGAAAGTGGAAAGAGTTGGATAAAAGGTTTTGGATTAATAGGTAAATCATTTATGCTGGTGAATATAACGTGGAAGGTATGAAGGTTGGTAGATGGGATATTATGTATGATAATGAATTTGGTTATAAAACTATGTAAATATTATATAATTTTAAGGAATATTTATATGTTTTAGTGGTGATGGATCATATGATTAAGAAGGAAGTTAGAAAAAGATTTGAAGTTGGGTGGAAGTGCACAAAGGGTTTAAAGATTTTGTTTAAATAACTTATAATGGTCAATATAATCAAAAAGGTAATAAGATTGGAATCTAGGTGGAAATCGATATAAAAAAAAATTAAAAACTTTAAAAAGAAAAAATTTGAGGATTGAAAATATCAATAATATGATATATTTACATTATTGAATTAAGTTTTTATTGATTTAATTTGCTCCTTGGATTTTTATGAGAATAAACTTATAAGTGAAAAATAATATTTAGGTTTCTAGATTTTTGTTGATTATATTATCATTTACATTATTTTGATTGAGATTCAAAATTTTTCTAATGAATTTGGATTCGTTTTGTCATTGATTTTATGAATTTTTTTGGTTTTTTGGATACTTGAAGTTAAGTAATTTTCGAAGTTGATTAAGTCCAAAATATTAAGCAATGATATCATCTCAATTAACTTTAGAAATACATTCTTAAATTCTATCTAATTCAGCATCCTTTTAAGCCAAAGTTTTGATAGATAATTTAAGTTCTTGTTTTATTTCTTTAGATAATGATTAATTTCCATAATTTTTCAAAGTGATTATCCTTAATTTAATTATCGTCCTTATATAAATCACTTATTTGTAATTATGGTATCAATTTTTAGGGGGATATTTAAATCTAAAGTTGGTGATTAAAATATAAAATTTGATTTCAGAGTTCAATTCGCTTAGTCTGCCTGAATTTAACGAATGTTTGAAAAGTGAGAGTACATTTGATTAATTTTGTAGATTCTGGAGTTCTTTATTAAGTTGTAATTATATTAAATTTAGAAGATTTTAGTGTCTTAAACTAGGTTTGTTTGAAAATTTCATATTAAGAAGTTATTTCAAATTATTTTTATTTTTGCTATGATCAATAAAACTATTAAATAAAATTAATAATAATCAGAGTAATAAAAATATTTAATTTAGTAATTAATAATTTAAGAATAACACTTATTCCTCAAAAGTTTTTAAGGCTTAGTCATAATCGTTCAAAAAAGTTATATTTATCAAAATATTTACAGACCATTTACCTTAATCCATTTATCAATTGAAATTATCACTATTTAATCAAAATAATAGCAATTTCATTTATATTAACAGATTAGATTTATGGCCTTTCTTTACTCATACATAAACTAATAATTTCATTGAAATTCCTAAACAATAATTCTTTTTCTACCCCAAAGATTATCTTTTATTATTGATCTGGTCTTAAATTATCTATAAATTCTGCCCTTAATAGTCTATCAATACTTTTAACTGCATCCAATTATAGATTTGTCTGTTTCATCTATACGATTTATTCTATATTAAACCTTAAAAATGCTTTTATATTTTAATTATTTATACATTTAATTGTTGATGCTTTTTATGGGTATTAAATAACTAATGTGTCGTGACAATTATGAGGGATTAGTAAATATATTTAATATTTTTACATTTACAGTTATTTATGACGATTAGTAATATTTTATATTTAATAATTAATTTATTACTTTATAAATAATATTGTTAACCAATAAATTAACAGTTTAGTGTATATAAACAAGATATACCTAGGATAATAGTATTTTGAGTGATTCTCAACCCTGTATAATTTTTAAATAGTGTGATAATATTTGACAATTTATGATTTAATTTTGATGAGACTTGATCAATACTAAACGTTAGAAATCAAAGGTAATTGTATTCTTTTATTCATACGATTCTAATAATGGATATAAATAATTGTTAATTCTATAAGACCCATTCTACTTTTTGATGATTTCAAGTTCAGCATTTACAAAATAAGTTTTTCTTATTATTTAAGATTTTCTGTAATGAAATTGATAAACTTGAGTTCAATTTCGTTACATAGCTTCTGTATTTTTTCTTTGAATGTCATAAAATTCAATTAATTGATTATTTTAATTTTTTACTACCTAATATTTCTTAGAATTACTTGATTGTCATTTTAATCTTTTCAATTTCTTATAAAATAATTTTTCACAATTTTTTCTCTCAAAGGTAAGATTATTCCATAATTGATTAATGTGGTTGATCTGCTTTTGGCTCGGTCTTGAAATTTTGTGTAGTAGATGTTATAGATATTTATGGTTGTTTTGGAATAACTTAAATATGAGTTCACACTAATTGTACCTTGTTTATTTTTTCAACTGGATTATATTTCTAAGTAATAATTTTGTAGATATTAATCTGAGTTTTTTTAATTTAAAATTATTCAAATTATTGTAAATTATTTAATTTATTGCTTTTGATTTGAATTTTTATCATTAATGCTATAAGGTTTTCAAATGTAAATTATAATTTTTTCTTCATTTTTCAATCAGATTATTCAAAATTGACTATTTCCAAACTAATTTTTTTTTTAAGAATATGAAATTAAATACAAAATTTAATAATCATTTACTTATCACTTAATTTTCTTGAAAATTCTTTTTATTGATCAATACTTCCATTATTACTCATAAGATTGAAAACATTTGTACTTTATATATTATTAAAAAATTAATATTAATCACTTGAATTTTCACATTACAATATTATGTTTTGAGTCTTTTTATACTATTTATTAGTAATTTTCCTCCTATAAAATGCTTTTATTCTTTACACTCAGGTTAAAATGGGAACAAATTATTATTGATAAAGTATATTCTACAACCATATTATTTAACAGTTATCTTTCATATAATATTTAATAATAATCTGGATCAAAAATATTAGAAAGAACAATCCAAAACCATTTGGCAAATAATTTTTATATATTAATCCATCTTATGAATGATAAGATTCATTATGTACCACATAAATAATAATAATTAGAATTATCTTAGAATTTAAAATTCGGAAGTATGAATTTCCTAAAAGTAGATTGAAAATATGACAAAATAATAAAAAAATCTTAAGAATAAGAAAAGCGGACTAAAGAAGAAATTTTTAGGAAATATGCAGATTTGTTAATTGACAATAATTTTCTTAAGCAATATATTAAGATACGGATTTAGAAAAGACAGAGTTTTTTCAATTGCTAACTTAAATTTTATGCTTTTTAAAAAAATTTTTTGAAATATTTGGATTTATAATTACTGTTACTTATTAAATTGATGTAGGAGATGATTAAGAAATTACAGCTTCATATATAGGTTTTAACTTTCCTTTGAAAAGAGATAGATTTCTAAATTGCAAAGTTTATGAGGGTGAGAATTTTGGTTAAAAAATAATAGGAAAGTAATTTAAAGATAATTTAAAATATATGATGATTTTATTGATGCATTTCTTAAAAATAAAGTATTGTTTGCAATCAAGAATAATAGTGTTATATAAAAAGTAATGTTTCAAAAACTTTTAAATTCTCTTTAGTTTAAGAAATTAGAAAAAAGTATGAAAAATATTGAGTTTAATATTCCATCTTTAGTAGATATTTTTAAAAAAAGATGCCTTCATATAGAGACAGTTCACACTGAAAAATAAATTTTATCAATATAAAAGAACTCTCTAATATAATAATTTAGTGGATCGTTTATTGAATTATTGAATAAGATAGTTTAAATTAATTCATAAAATAGCAAAATAATTAATTGCTTAATTTTTTTGAAATAAAAGTGAAGGGTATAATTAGAGGTAAATGTAATAACTGTCAAAGAATTACGTGTCTGAATTGGTGAAATTTTAGCAAATCTTAAAAAAATAAGTTAGAAGATGTAAATTTTGATATTATATTAGAATAAGAAGATGTCAATCATCCTTATTTATTGATAAATATTCATGTTTTAAGCAATAATCAATTGAATAAATAAAATCTAAAAATTAATTTATATCGAAATTCATTACAAGTTAATATTGAAACAGGCAGTAACAATATATTTTTTTGGTTTGTATAAAATGAGAAGATTAATAATTAAAGAAAAAAAACCATTGAAATTAATAATTTGTGTAATTTCATATAATTACATTTGAATAATAAATGGTAAATAAAATTTTATTTTTATAGAAAGAGCTCTTAATTTATTTGAAGAATATAGTTATCTTTTGTAAAACCAATCCCATTTACTACAAAGTTATTATTTGATGATATTTTTATTCTAATTTTGTTTAGGCAATAATGATGAAGGAATTAAAAAGTCCTTTCTTACAATAAGTTGTAGATTAATCAAAACTTTGAAAGTGAATAATTTATTAATGCATTAAAGAATGGTATATTTCCTTTTATATAGGATTACTTCTATACCCAAGAATTAAAGATTAAAAGCTGAATTATACAGATAATAAATCTAATTATATCAAAGAAGCAGAAAAAAAAATTACAATTTTCAAATGAAGGTTATGATTATCAGAAGGAAAATATTTTCTTCTTTATTTTATGAAATCCTAAATATAAACATTTGTTTATTATTTTAATTATTATTATAAATAGTAAGAACACTCTTATACCGGAGGTATGATCAAAATAAATTTAAACGAATATAGAAAATGCATTTCTAAATGATCAGAATATTTGTATATTTAAATGATAATCAATAGTAAATGTGTAATTGATTTAAAGGTTTTTTGATTTGTTAAAATTTATAACTATATATCATAGTTAGTTGATTAAATGATAAACTTAAGTTAGGATAAAAATCTGATCAATATGAGTATTATAAACATAAAATTATACTGTAAGAATAGAGGGATGTATCGTACAATGAAGAGAGTTTCTAAAGAATTTTATAGCAATTGTTTAATAGTATTAATCCGAAATTAATGAAGAATCTCCAAGAATAAAGAATTATATTTGGGTATATTCTAATTTAATGAAAAACATTTAGAAATTACCTATATGATTATTGAGCACATCTGATTTTTAAATAATATTGAATAAGGTATTCATCAAAGTGAATTACAAAAGATTAACCACAAAAGAGAATTTTAATTATGAATTATAGACAGCTAGGAGAGTTAAAATTTTTCAATAAACCAGTAAGTGAATTATATCATTAAATTGAATATTTTTAGAGAACATGGATTTAATGATTTTTACTTATTTAGCATATATGAAATGGGCTCATTTCATATAGATAACTTTTAATAAGAAATAATCAAAAGTTATATTGATAAAATATATATACATTATAAAAATTTAATTTTATGTGATTAGAAGAATCTTTTGGAATGTAACTAGTTACTTTTTTTAAAGCAAGAATGCTTATTTTGATTCCAGTCCAATTCATATGTTTTCCATTTTTATTATTCCAACACAAAAAGCAACTTTAATTTAGCTTGATATTACGATGATAAAGATGTCAAGGAAGGAAATTATTGTCAAACAAAAAGGCATAAACATGAATCATAATCATAACATAACAATAAAATTATATTTCAAGAATCAGTATAGATAAATGATGAAAAATAAATTTCCAAAATATAGTTTTAACTTGGATGAAAAAAAATTATTAATTCTAAATCAAACCTTTAAATATTTAAAAAATGAATTAGAAAAATCTTTATAAATCAACCAATTAGAGTATAAGTTTATAATTATTTTCTTAACTTGTAATTGTAGAGGTTTTTAATATTGATATTGAGAGATTTTAATAAAAATTTACAATTTCTATATAACTAGATTAATCTTAATAAGAATTATTAAGATTATTAACTATTTTATAATAAAAATAATTGTTTAA